TACAACCACTTAACTCAAAAAAAAAAAAAATTAAGAAAATCCAAGGAATCATCTTGGAATCCTTTTTTTCAGTGTGTTAGTTAGTTTTCAGTGATCAAAAAGATCATCATTTAAAAAACAAAAAGAAAATCACCAGGTTTGAATGAAATGTTTTGGTCTGTTCAGGTTTTTGTCTGATTATAACTTTACCTTTAATTTTTCCTTATTTCACAAAAGTCCAAATAAATGCATATATGCTTACAATATACCATCTTGTTATAAAATATTTCATTTAATAAATACTTGTATGTTGAGTTTTGTACTATAGCTTTATAGATGCTTACTGATCTTGTATTGAATTGTATTATATAATAATAATAATGATAATATATCATATTATATATTATATTATACATTAATATTATGTTATAGTTATGATCACCAGTAGTGTTACCCTTGCAGGCTGCTGGAGAACACTCACATATCAACTGCACTACAGATCCCATCATGCACTTCACGCTCACACCTGGCCCTGATTGCAAACACACAGCTGAATCTTGCGAAATCTGATTACCAGGACTATAAATACACCTCACTGACTCTCTCACACACACACATTGCTGAGTCTTGTTTTCTGTAAGCATTATTTCTTGTCTAGCCTTCTTGTGTTTTTGACCTGTTTATTGTTTATCATGTTTGCCAACTGCACCAATCTCTTGCCTGCTTTTGACCATGGTTTTTGGATGCTCCAGTTTGTACGCGTTTTGACCGTTGCCTGCCTGAAATTCTATTAAATAAACAGCACGTGGATAGTCAATTATTTTATTCCCTGAATCATTACTATTATATTATATTATATTATATTATATTATATTATATTATATTATATTATATTATATTATATTATATTATATTATATTATATTATATTATATTATGTTATATTGTACTATATTGTATTATATTATATTATATTATATTATATTATATTATATTATATTTGCTGACTTCAACGTGACTGATATTTTATCTCTCTAAAAGTGAGTTCACCAGCATGGACCACACCACACTTTGAGCTGGACTTTATTGTAAGGATGAAAAGGGGTGGTAAGGGAACAGTAGGATGAAGGGGAATGGAAGAGGAAAAATAATGAACAAGTAGGTAGGTTGATTGGGTGTCATACAATGATGCCCAGAGACTCAGAGTGGGGATACTGTCTCTGTAATATTTTGGTAGAGTCATTAAGATCTTCCCGGTTTAACCTAGGAGGGAGGAGAGGGTTATACGGTTTGTTAATGGGAAGCAAGAAAATAGAGGGTGGGTGGGTTTAAGAAAACAACAGCAACAATGCTAGAGGCCTTGTCTGCAATAAACCAGTTTTAGGGAGTAGGTGATAGGTTAAGAAGGCAAAGTAAGGCGTGGTCCTACTGCTGAACGTCTTTTAACAAGTTAACTCAATTATGACTGATATGTCTAGCAGATTTTTTTTTTTCTCACAGAGCAAATATTTTAAAACAGAAAGAAACATATAAAAATAAAAGACATAAAAGACATTATTAACCATTTAACCAATATAACTGATATATTCAATATATTGAACAAAACTAAATTTGATTTTAACTGATAATTTCAACATGTTCCCAAATTTCACTTTACATTATGTTCTTATTTTCCTTCTATTTATTTATTTATTTATTTATTTATTTATTTATTTAAATTAGTTTTTTACTAAATCACTTTATTGTTATTTTAGTGGTAACAATCAAAAGCCATCTTTCTGAAACAAGTAACTATACTTGGTAAAAAAAATAGGATTTTATTTTTAATTGCCACACAATTATATGAACAATTGTGGAATTGTGTTCTTAATTTTCTTTTATTGTTGTTGTATACATCTTCATCATTTTTAATACACCAAGAAAAACTGAATAACATAATAATGATAATTTACACACTCTCTACAAAAACATAAATGCCTTGATGGTCACAATCTAAAGTGCATGTCTGTTTTGTGAAGCAGAGATCATGTTGAATGCCATATGCCCGAGAGATTAAAGCCTTTACCAATAGCAAAATTATTATTCTTTTTTTTTATTATTCTCCTCATTGTGTCTGCAGTGCAGGTGTGTGATTGTCCAGCTAGAAACAGTGATTCTGACGGCTTTTTTCCTGAGTTTGGCTAACACTGAACGAGCACACAATGACAGGTTCTTCAGGTAATCAAAGCTATGCAGATCCACCAGTCTGATCTATTATGCTGCTTAATCGCTGACTATGAGTTATTAGCATAATCACAATACATATATTCAGCATGGAGGACAAAAAGGAGGCTCTTTGAACATAAATAGACCTAGAGAAAAGATCCTGGAGGCATCTGATTGTGTTTTTAGTCCTGTGAGGCCTTTTGTCTAAGTGTCTTTTCTTAAGAATGTAGAATATAGTATCAGGAATATGCTCTGATTAACTCTGCTGCTCATCAAAAGGGTCATTATAGGCAACATGGTTTATATGGCAAAAATGTATATAACTAAAACAAAGCAGAAAAAAACAATACAAAGAAAACACACACAAAAAAACACAGAAAAACAAAACAAATACAAAATAATGATTCATTTAGTTTGACTTGATGTACAAAAATAATTAAACTAATGACAGTTTAAAAATATGAATAAAACGGCAACACAACTAAAACATTGTAAAGATAACCATATATCTAATTCTAATTATATAATGTATGACATACAATTATGTATTTATTCAAAGTTAATTATTTAACATTCTTTTAAGTTATTTATTTATTTATTTATTTTTCAATTCTTGCTTGCAACACAATAAAAAAAAAGTTGGGACAGTAAAGCATTTACTGCTTTGTAATTTCCCCCTTTCTTTTCACTACACTAAAAAGACATTTAGGGACTGAAGATACCAAGTGAGGAAGTGTTTCAGGTGTAATTTTATCCCATTCTTCCAGCAAACAAGTCTTAAGGTAGGCAATAGTATGGGGTCTTTGTCATCACATTTTGAGCTTCAAAATGCACCACATATTCTTTACTGGAGACAGCTCGGGACTGCAGCCAAGTCAGTCAAGTACCTGTATCCTCTTCCTCCGCCGCCAGGACTTTGTGATATGTGCAGAATGGGGTTTTGCATTGTCATGTTAAAATTTGCATGACAGCACCAGAAAAACAATGCAGCATATTGTGCTCCAAAATCTCTATGTACTTTTTAGCATTAATGGTGCCACCACAGAAGTGCAAGTTACCATTGCCAAGAGAAGTGACAAAACTTCACACCATAATAATAATTTCTCACCTTTATATAGAGCTTTTTTAGACACTCAAAGCACTTTACACAATGGGGGGAATCTCCTCATCTACCACCAGTGTGATAGCATCCACCTGGATGAAGCATATCAGACCGCACATCACACACCAGCCAATTGTTGGAGAGAAGACATGAAAGAGGCCAGTGGGCAAATTGGGCCAGGATGCCCGGCTCTTTTTTCGGAGGACAAGGATTTTTAATGCCCACAGAGAGTCAATCACTTAGCAGTATAGAGTCCCGATCAATATACTGAGACAGCAGGTTGAGCACCCCCTGCTGGCCTCACTAACACCACTTCCAACAGCAACCTAGCTTTCCCATGTGGTCTCCCATCCAGGTACTGACCAGGCGCAGCCCTGCTTAGTTTCAGTGGGCGACCATGTGAGAGTTGCAGAGAGTTAGCTGCCGGCGTACCATGACAGACTCTGGATTTTGGACCCGTTGCTGGTAACTGTCTGGCTAATCCTTTTCTTCTTTGTTCCAAAAAAAACCCCTGATATATTGATTCATCTGACCACAGTACACTTTCCACTGTGTAATGGTCCATACCAGATGCATCCGAGTCCAAAGAAGATGATGGTGCTTTTGGACACTGTTAACATAGGGCTTCCTTTTGACACAGTACAGTTTTAATGGGCATTTGTGGATGTAACTACATATTGTGGTACTTGACAAAGGTTTGCCAAAGTAGTCCTGAGCCCATGTGATAATGTCACTTATAGATTCTTGAAGTAGTGGCACCTGAGAGATGGGAGATCATAGTTGTTCACCTTAGGCTTGTGCCCTTGTCCTTTACGCACTGAAATTCTTTCAGATTCCTTGAATATTTTAATGATGTTATGCACTGTTGAAGATGAAATACCCAAATGTCTTCCCATCTTTCTTTGAGCAACATTGCATTTAGACATTTTACTAATTTTCTAATGTATTTATTGCCAAACTGGCAATCCTCTGCCCATCTTTGCTCCTAAAGGACTAGACCTTTCTTGGATGCTGCTTTTGTACCTAACCATAATTACAATCACCTGTTGACATCACCTGTTTTAAATCACATCGTTATTTAACCAATTTACCTGATTATTAGCCCTAAATTTCTCCTGTCCCAACTTTTTTGGAATGTATTGCAGGTCTGAATGACAAGAAATGATGCATATTTACAAATGAAATGAAGTTGACCAGACAAAACATGAAATATTTTGTGTTCATATTGTCTGCAATGAAATACAAGTCAAAGTAAATTTGGAAATCACTATTTTCTTTTTTTATTTGCATTTTCCATACTGTCAAAACTTGTTCTGATTTGTCGTTGTATTAATAATGAAGAATTTAAATAACATGTTTAGAACTTAAACCATTTTCTGTCTATTTCCTCACACTTTCAAATATTTTTATAAATTATTTTTTTTCACATTTACTGACTTGACAACCCAAATGAACACAAAAATGTTACATTATTGATTCATGTTACGAGTTATAAAAAAAACATACTGAATACTATGAATTAGCTTTATAGGTTCTTGTGAACAAAACAACTCTATAATGATAGTAAACAGGCCACTGCTATAAACAGTCTGAAGCTCAGGGGATGTGCCGAGGGCTCTTTAAAATCAGCTTCACAATATCGCCCACTGTTCTAACACTGTTGAACCCAAACAAGAGAGAAGATCCTGGTCAAATATAGAAACAAAAGTGCTCACCTTTGCTGATGTTGATGCTCCCTGGTCCAGAGAGATACTAAAAGAGGGAGAGTAAATATAGAGAAATCAATAACATATATAAGCTCTATAATATCCACACACACTCACTAAGACAAACACAAGTTTTAGTTTCAAATATTTTTTCAGGTCTAGATAACTTTTGCAGATGAATAGTCATTTTAAAAATAAAATATAATATAGTATCATTTTATTAAAGGACAGTGGGCTCTTTTGAAAGCAGAATGATCTGAAGAGCGCAGTTTTTAATGGTAGTGCTGATTGTTTTATTTTATTCCTTTTTGTTATTTAGTTACTTTTTGTTGCTTCATTCTGTCATGTCAATTTATTTTGTTGTTTTGATTATTTTGTTGTTTTGTTCTGTTGTTTGTTTCTTTTTGTCAATAGTTTTGCCGTTTCATTTTGTCATTTGTGGTCATTTTGTAGTTTTTTGTTTTCTCATTTAATTTTGTTGATTCGTTTCATTGTGTAATTTAATTTCTTTTTGCCATTTCTTTTTATTTTATCACTTCATTTTTTGTTTCATCTGTTTTAGTTGCTTTGTTTCGTTGTTTTGTTTATTTCTGTCATTTTGTTTCTTTTTGTTTTGGAGTTTTATTTCTTTTCGCTTTGTCATTTTTTTCGCTCCATTATGTTGTTTTGTTCCTTTTTGTTGCTTCATTTCGTTTTTTCGTTTAATTTTATAATTTTTTTCTTTTCATTTTGTAAATTCTTTTTTTCCACTTTCTCAATTCATAGTTTCATTTTGTCACTTCGTCACGTTGTTTTGTTTCTTTTTGTCGCTTTATTTGGTTGATTCGTTTCATTTTGTCATATTTGTTTTTTGGTTTGTTGTTTTGTTTGTTTTTGCTTTGTCATTTTGTTATATTGTTTTGTTGTTTCATTTTGTCATTTTGTTTTCTTTTGTCTTTTGGTTTCATTTTGACACTACGTTATGTTGTTTTGTTTCTTTTTGTCACTTCGTTTGGTTGTTTCATTTCATTTTGTCATTTCATAATGTTGTTGTGTTGTTTTGTAGTTTAGTTTCTTTTTGCTTTGTCATTTCATTTCGTTTTGTCATTTAATTTCGTCTTGTCTTGTTTCATCTGGTCTTGCATTGTTTTGTTTCATTTCATATTTAATTTTCAGGAAAAATGCACATGCTGTCATGGCAATGCTAATAAAATGATGCCTCTAAACTTATTCACTATCAATAAAATTTTGCTCCCAATAATATGTTTATTTAAATTGGTTTGTGCTTTTAAATCAAGAATAATTTAGGTTAGTTACTGAAAACTCAACAAAACAAACTTACTAAAAACAAAAATCAAAATTACTTTACATACTTAATAAAATAAAAAATAATCATTACAAAATATTTTCTGGATTTAATTTTTAATTTAAGTCAAGTGCATTTTCAGTTTTGAGTCCAGAATTTCCATTTTGGTGCATCTCAAATGACAACTTTATAAAGTACTTGCAAATTTCTCAGTAATCACAAATTAAGCAAGTAACACTAGGTTAAACATCAAACTTTGAAGCATAAATACTGAAATAGTATTTTCTTGTCTAGTTTACTTTAATAAACTATATTTGCAATGTTTGTTCTTTTGTTATACGGTGTGATTCTCTGTTCAAATTTGTTAATTTATTGACCACTGAACTGTAAAAATCAATAATTGTTTCACACAACCGATTTCCTACACATTGTACTGCTACAGTAGCTTCATTTCTCTCCTATTACAGCCAGTTCTGCAACTTTTCAGTATAAAAAAACTGTTACTGCAACTTATCAAGCTGTCAATTTTCAAACTGACAGTTACAAACACTTCCTCCTGCCGGTTCTGTCCTTGGCTTTGACTGGAGCTCGCAGCCTCGACCACCGCAAGCTGGATAATAAGCTTTTTTATAAAATGCCACCTTGCATTTTTCCCCTGGCATGAGAGCAGAGCGTCGGCTCACCTCATCAGCTCACCTCCATTAAAGTGAAGATCTGAGCACTCACACACACACACACACATTTATACTCTCCAAGCAGGCCACAAAAAAGCAGCAGTGTCTGGAATAATCCCATCAACAGACTCTACGATTTACAGTCCTAGCAAATGCTTTGCAAAGATGCTGATATTCAGAACAGTCATTAAGGCTCAGCTATCGTATAATCTCCTCTTCAAACAGTAAATTAAAACCAAGCCTAATAGATTCACCTCAAGCCTAATTGAATTACTTTGGCTTAACAGTACAGTACATAGCTTTTTGTATTTATTAGAAAAAAGCAACATTTAGTCACACTAATATGACATAATTTGCTATTTAAAGTACCTGTGAAATCAAAATCAAAGTTTTTTTTTGTTTGTTTTTTTAAAATGCAGGTTGCGTACAATGATTGTATGAGGATTTGCTTAAAAAACCTAGATAGTGCGGTGAAAGCAATTTATTTTGTAAAGTACAAATTAGCAAATGTATGCGCCAGGGGTTCATTCTTCATATGTGGATTACTCAGTTAGCTGGATTTCATTATTGACGATTTGACACGATCCAGGACCATTTAATTGTTTAAAAGTGGTGGGCTGTTATTGGCGTTAACGCAAGACTCTTATAGCATGATGAAAAATTATCGCCGTTAATCTACTCTCAAAGTTGGGTTGGGAGCTGGATCTGTTCTACGCAAGCTATGATGACTTTCACCTTTATATTTAAGGGCAAATCTATACCTGACCGGTGAGCCGTCTGACAATAAAGTGCTCTTCTGAATCATATCAGCAGGACGCCCTTCTGGATCTTTCACTTACTTCGAAGACACTACTGACAACGCTTACATGGACATCTGTAATATAGTTATTTGCCTTACACAATAATATAATTAAGGTGCTTACGGAAAGTGCTTTCAAGTAAGAGTTTTCAGTAATTCTGAGTGACTATAACTGCAGTTCAGCAGTTTCACATTTACTCATGAACATTTCATTCATGCCCTCGTGACAAACCGGGGAATTAGACGCAAATAAGGAGTAAGGACTGGTGGAAGCGTGTTATGGAATTTAATAACGCTAGCCAAATGGAAAGAAAAACTTTCATATTTCACTATGTGTGTGTGCGGTCCTTTACTGACAGCCGCGCGCGTGGATCTTGTCGAAAAATATGACGAAAAGTCTTACATGACGGTAATAGTTTGATTGCAGTGTTTACTTCAATAATGCCACTCCATATGCATACTCCACAAGGCTTAATTCCATTTCTGTTTAGTTCAGTTATGACTTTAGTCAGAATGAGGTAATAAAAAAAAAATAAAAAATAAAAAAATAAATAAAAATAAAATAAAATAAAACAATCACTGTTTCTAGCTTATGTAGGTCTATACAGTTCAAAATTCATGATTAACTGAATAAACATTAAGTAAACATCTTATTAAACATCATTTATTTTCATCACCAATTTTCATAGTAGAACAGTTTCCTCAAGCAGTTTGTGATGTATTTTGGAAACAGAAGATGACCACCTGGTCTAATGGGCTACCTAGCTTGAGAAACCCGTTCTTAAAGACTTCTATTTAGTCATTTCACCCTTATTTGGGTAGCATACATATCCCGAATGCCTTCGGCAGAATTCAAAAGAGCCAGTTTAATATAGATTAATCTAGATTAATTCCAAGATTACAGTGAGATTAATCTAGATTAAAAAAAAAAAAAAAAAAAAAAAAAAAAAAAAAAAATATATATATATATATATATATATATATATATATACATATATATATGCCCAGTAGGGCATGATTCTGGCTAAAACGTGAATCACGATTAATTTTGCTTAAAATCAAGATCACGATTTTCTCATGTCTTAAAATGTAAACAACTTATAAAAAGCATTCCATATTGCAAATAAGTTGTATACATATAATTATTTATTTAATAATTACATTTATTAATATGGATTTTTTAGATACAAACGTGCACTATTTAAGGTGTCAGCTTTGGTACAATTTGTGTGTGATAATAGACATGCACATTGTCTATTTACAACCCAAGCTCATTCTGGAAACAGCGGCCTCCGGCGACTTTTCACGCGAGAGCAGCGCGGGCGCGAACGGCGCGTGCTCCCAAGAGGCGTTCAAGACGCGGAAAAACACGCACAGCGGCCAAACGTCCGCAGGGCTACGTTTCCACGATAAACCTGAGTTGTCTATTTAACTGTTTTTTTAAAGAAATAATAATTTATGCAGTCATGCATATGTTTTGACAGCTGATATGTCGATGACTTGATGCTTCGCAAATGTTGCAGACGCCTTTACCAATATCAAAAGCTTTTAGATGCAAAATTAAAGCCAGTTATTCCTTACACTAATTAGGAAATTTAAATATGGGCTACTATAAAAAAAATCCATACTAAATGTAAAACTAAATAGCTAAATACTCTTGACACATAAAAGTGTAAAGCCTGCAGCCCACAACAAAGGTGGAAAGTTATTGCGTATCATATTTAACAAACCATTTACTATAAATTTAATGTCATTTTGCTCATGGATAGTTTAATATTAATCAGATGATGTCATTACGCTGCTGTGCTGTGCCAATCGTTGAATTGCTGATCATGATTTCGAGGATCGATAGATCTGTCCTTCACAACACACGCAGCGATCTCAGATCAGTTCATCCAGACATTTTAATCTGATTCGCGAACTTGTTTAAAGAACCAAATTAGTCAGAGATCCTTTATCAAGATTAAAAGATCCAGGATCTGCCAAATCATCATAAATAATTAAGCGCTCTATGAAAAACGGACCATAAGGACAATAAGGCCTATATTTTCAATGTTGAATTGACAGTTTCAGTACTTTTCACCCACCCTTTTTCACCCTCAAATATTTCCCAAATGATGTTTAACACAATAAGGAATTTCTCACAGTATTTTAGATATTATTTTTTCTTCTGGAGAAAGTCTCATTTGTTTTATTTCAGCTATAGAATAAAAGCATTTTTTAATTAAAAAAAAAAAAAAACATTTTAAGGTCATTATTATTAGCCCTATTAAGCAATATTTCTTTTGATTGTCTGCAGAACAAAACAGTTATACAATGACTTGCCTAATTAATTAACCTAAGAATGCATACCTCTGAGGTGTAGCATAAGTTTGGGATGTTTTTCTCACTCACCCAGTGACGCTGCTGCTGGCCGAGCTGTCAGAAATCTGTGAACTGGCGATCCACTTAGTTTCTCCCACTACAGTTCTGGTGTGCGGCAGCCGTCCCACGTCCTTCACCGTCATCATGAGGTGGTGTGAAGACTTCAGCACTCGGACCGCTTCATCATGCGGGATGCTGAGGAAACTCCGTCCGTTCACCTCCAGGATCTGATCTCCCACCTGTGGACAGGACGGGGGACACACAGGAGAAGGTGTGTGGGCCGGTGGAGGCAGAGCGGGACGGGATGAGGCTGGAGACGGGACGGTCTGGGCATCCAGAAGGCGAATAGAGTGGTTTGATCAGGTCAAATTTGTGGAAGGTTTTGATGAGATAAACAGAGAGTCAATTATGATGATGGACGGAAAAGAAAGCAGCCAGAGACAAACTCGTCATAAATATGCATGAGAAGCTGATGAAGAGAATACAGAAAAATTCTGAAATATGCCTGCTGCAAAATAATAACTGGTGCTGAAATGGATAAACTGTAGTCTAATGTTTCAAACGCAAACGTTAGGAGAATATACAATGGGGAAAATAAGTACACTTCATGATTTTATGGGAATAATATTTTCTAAAGGAGCCGTTGACATGGAATGAAACCAGATTTTGGTAAAAACCCAAACAATACAAACGTAAAAATCAAACAAAACAAAAAGAAATCTGTAAAAAAAAAAATAGTTACATTTAATAACAGTGGAATGACACAAAGAGAGAAAGTCCTGAACTGCTAAAATGTATTTAATACTTTATATAAAAGCCTTTTGTTCTGATAACAGCATAAAGATGCCTGTCATTTGGAGAATGAAGTCACATGAATTGCTCAGGTGTGATTTCTTTTCACAGACTTCAACAGTGTGTAAATGTCTTGATGGTTCTGTTGGTCTCGTTGATCAAATTTAGCTTTATTTTGTATTTTCTATTGGATTTAAGTCAGGTCATTGGCTGAGCAATTTTACAGCTTGATTTTCTTTCTCTGAAAGCATTTAAGACTTTTCTCGGCTGTGTTTTAGATCATAGTAATGCTGAAATGTCCACCCTAGTTTCAACTTTCATCTGTAGATGTTGGAGTGAAGCAGCTAATATTCATTTACAATGAGAATGGGTTGCTAAATAATTACTGAGAGATTTTAGCTGCTGTCTGGGCTTTCACTGCCTTTCTAAACCTCCCTTTCTTCATATGTTCAACCATTTTTACCTGTATCGCTTAGTTTTAGAACACATGACTTTATTTGTATACTTATTAGTTTAGTTTTTTTGGTGGCCATCAACATACAGTAAAAACAGCACCTTTAAAAATATGTTTTTTTTTAGAAAAATTATGACATGTTCAATACTTATTTTCCCTGCTGTATGGAAACAGCACTTCTAAAGAAAATAATCTGACCAATGTACTTTTTCAATATGTACAAATACTCAGAAATTATTTGTACAGGTGTTTTTATGAATGTATTTATAAAAGTACATATGCATATTTTTTATTTGGATGTATGTTTTTTTATTTGTTAGTTTACTTATACTGTTTGGGTTTTTAAGACTAGCCTGCAGCTCTGCACAAGAAGTTTGGCCAGAGGAGAAATGGTCATGCCCAACTAAGCATGGTTTCTCTCAAGATTTTTTTTGCCACTAGGTTGCTTCGTTTTGGGACTTATGGAGCTGCGCATTGATGGATTTGCTCTTTAGTGTTTGAACTTTCAGCAGTGAAAATGAAACCACACTTAACTGGACTGACACAATTTCAATGTACTAGAACTTCTATGTTAAGCTGCTTTGACACAATCTACATTGTCAATCAATCATCAATCATTGATGGAAAATCAACCTGCATTTATTAAAAACATAAATGTAAACTGCAATAGAGCTGAAAATATAATATGAAAACTTACATGAATCAAAAGTTACTATAGCAACTACAGTTGGTGAAAGAACAGAGTTAACTAAATAAACAACTTCATGTAGGAGTGTTAAAAATTACTAAAGCTAAACCAGTAATACAAGCAGCTGCTGTACATGTCTAAAATAAAATGAAAAAGAATGCTGAAAATATAAAAACAAAAGCTAATTTCATTCATTTTCCTTCAGCTTAGTCCCATTATTTATCAGGAGTCACCACACTATTCTGGCATTTGTTTTATACAGCGGACACTCTTCCAGCCACCAGCCAGTACTGGGAAAAAATGCTAATTTTGTATTATTCAAATTTAATACATATTTATGATAAAACTATATTTATTATAAATAAAAATATTCTGCATAAAAGATTATTCCAGAGCTTTCCTATAATTTATTTTCTTCTGGAGAAATTCTTATTTGTTTAATTTCAGATTTTATTTTATTTATTTTTTTTTCATTTTTAGAAACCATTTTAGTGTTATTATAATTATTATTAACATATTATCAGCCCACTTAAGCAATATGTTTTGCTTAAAAAGCTTATTTTATATTATTACATTTGCAACAATACTTATTATATCTTAATATTATATTAAGATTCCTCTTTTTCATAATAAAAATATATTGTTTTTGAAGTTCAATAAGTGACTTAATATATCAGTGTAAAACATTTAAATGCACCAAACACCAACATGCACTTAATCTAGGAAAAAACAACAACATTTGAATAAACAAATAATAATAAAGCAAAAACCAGAGAGAATTTATTTCTTTATTTTTAGTCCTCTGCATGTTTCTGAAACCAAAAGATTCATTTTAGATGGCAAGCATGTAGTTCTGCTTTTAATATAAGTGCAATACATCTTAATTCAGCTTCATTTCTCAATATGGGATGAAAAACTGTACAGTTTTAGAAAAAAAGACATGCTGTAGCTTCAGTTTAATCCTGTGCTACAAAAGTGGTCCATATACATGGCTCAGACAGTTTTTCCTCATCTCCCCCATTTATCCTCCCACTCGCTGATCTTCTCTTCATCTTTTTCCCTCAGCTTGTCACACATTTATCTCCCTCAACGTTTCCTCTTTTGTCAGTCCGACTCTGCGTACAATATTTCCATTTCTGAAGCTCTTACTATGGGATTAAGAGGGTAAAAAATAACTAATAGTTCCACAGTTGACTGATTACATTAAGAATTGCTAACTTTTTTGTACTACAAGTTTTCTAAAATGTTATATTTAAATATGCATGAATAAACAGGGTGGCACGGTGGCTTGGTGGTTAGCACTGTCGCCTCACAGCAAGAAGGTTGCTGGTTCAAGGCGTTGTGTGTGTGAATGTGAGATTGTATAGGTGTTTTCCAGTACTGGGTTGGAGCTGGAGGGGCATCCGCTGTTTAAAAATGGAATAGTTGGTGGTTAGTTCTGCTGTGGCGACCTCTGATGAAGGACTAAGAATAAGGAAAATGAATGAATGAATAAATAAGAATAATAAGGACTCTAATTAAAAGTGTGTTAAATTGCATACATTTCTAATGCTAAAATCTGAACACAGGATAAAGTATGTGGTAAAATACTGCGAAAAGCTAAAAAAATAATAATACAATCACAATCTGTTGTAGAATAAAATGTAGAAATCTTTCGAATTTATAAATGAATCCACTTATAAAGTTTTATATGACAAATAGGCCGTGAATTGCTTTTATTTTGGTAAAAGAAATAGTTAGAAGTCTGATGTTTAAAAATATGAGGGGTCACTTACTCTCAACACAGTTTTTTCCTACTTTTTACAAAGTACCGTAAAATGTCCTACAGTATGTTGTAAAAACAACTCTAATAAATAGAGTACATAATATACAAATAGAGTGAGAGTAAATTGCCTTTCATTGTAGGACATTTATTTTCATGCCATTTATTTTATATGAAATTATGAATATTATATTTTTTCTACATGACTTGTCAATCTTGTCGAAGGACAACAAAATGTATTTTTATAAGGGTTCCGAAAAAGTTCAATATGTAAAACATTGAGGCAAAACTTAACTGTAAACATAATGGGCTTCGCAAGGGTGTTCAGTCACATGATCTTTAATGGCGTACTTTACTTATTACTATTTAAAAAAAAATTGCAGATTTAAAAATAGCATACAGTGTCACACAAAAATGTATCAAATTCTTTTGTTTTTAAAAAACAAACGACTGCAACTTACTAAAATTGCCACTTGTATAATAAGGCCTGAGGTATTTATTAATGATTTTATTTATTTATTTATTTATTTATTTATTTTTATTAATTAATTTCTCCTTCGGCTTAGTTCCTTATTTATCAGGGGTCACCACAGCGGAATGAACCACCATTCCAGCATATGTTTTAGGCAGCAGATGCCCTTCCAGCTGCAACCCAGTACTGGGAAACACCCGAATACACTAATTCACACACTTACTCATACACTATGGCCAATTTGATTCATCCAAATTCACCTACAGCACATGTCTTTGGACTGTGGGGAAAACCGGAGCACCTGAAGGAAACCTACACAAACATGGGAAGAACATGCAAACTCCACACAGAAATGCCAACTGGCCTAGCCGGGATTGAACCAGTAACCCTCTTGCTGTGAGGTGACATTGATGACCACTGAGCCACTGTGGCGCCCTTATTTATTATTTTTTTTAATATAAGAGTTGTAATTTATTGAACTATGCTTGAGACAGTCACACCACACGACTTTCTTGAGATTTGGCTCAAAATTGTAAAAAAATATATAATAACAGCAGTTTTTATAAAACAAACACTTATTACTCAGATAGAATTAAACAAAATAATATCTAGATATATAGTTGAGGACGTGCTGTCATTGCCTCTTACATTGTCCCACAACAACATTAAAATAGCGTAGATTAGCATACAATGCTTTATATTTATTTTTTTGGTCGTTTGACAAATTAGATTTTTTAAAGTAACACAATAGTTACTTTCCCAGGTAATTAGTTACTTTTATAATTATGTAACTCAGTTACTAACTAATTTACTATTTGTAAGAAGTAACTAGTAACTTCAACTAATTACTCTTTAAAAGGAACATGCCCAACACTGCTTATCAATGAATTTCTGAGATTTCTTTTCGGTTAAGCAAAAAATCCCCAAAAAAACCCCACCCTATTCAGAAAATAAGAGGTGCATTTTGCCTGTAGTGTCTCATCTTAAACTTGTCACAATACCAGACTGGTCTCATTTCTCTTAATCTAACTCTAATTCTGTTTTCATCACTAACCAGCTCTCTTTATGAAT